CTAATAATGTTCGTTTTCCTCTCCATTCACACAGATTGAACGTACATGGAATTTTACAGAATGGATGGCTCTGTGAATGTTTTAGAACTACACCCCTTTGACTTGCACCAATGCACTTGTGTGAATGCAGTGTGTAATCATGCATTAAGGTGCACTGCTTTGAGACAGTCTGTTTATATTGAATGGGCTGACAGTGCTTGAAATGCATGGAAAAAATGGACCTGATCCTTTTTTCTAAAGCGGTGCAACACAATGCATAACTAGTGTGCTGTTGTATGCTACATAATGCAAGTGTGCTGCCTGCTACTATGGATTATGAATGGCACATCAACACACCACATAGTATATAGAGTGCATCAAATTTGCAAGCTTTCAAAACCGATCAGGTCTCTTGTTTTGGTGAGGCCAAGAGGAGAGCTTAGCTGTCTCTGAAGCTTGCAGATGTGTCATCTTTTGCTTTAAGTCTTCTAATTTGTGTTATACAATAAAAGGGGGTCAAAGAAATGGTTACAATCTGAAACAATGTGATAAGTATGTAGCTGTGCTATCCACAAATATGGAGGGATGTGTATTATCAGAGTACAATGAAGCTGATCACGGATTACATTGTAATAAATACACCGGGGTGAAGGTTCCATTTCACATTGGATGAATACAGGACCTTTCCTCACATTTATAGATAGGAGTAAAATGAAAGGGTAACAAGATCTCTGATATAGAAATGTATAACTAATTCTATTTCTTTTTTTCAGGCCCACAAAAAAGAAGAATGCAGACCGCTTCCTTTATTTGTACAATGTACATTTCTAGCTTGGCTTCTTTCTTTTTAAAAATACACACTTTTTAAATTAAGGAGAACCTGTCATATTCTGTAATCAGCGTATATGCAAATTGAATTAGTAGAAATCATGCTTCTGTGACATTAGGATTTTTTTTTTAATGTAAAAAAGGATTGTTAGGACATTTTAGGATCTGTACCTCATACAAACCAGTTATTTATTACATATCATGTTCCATTATCCCTGCTGAAGGATCCTCTCTGACCAGTAGAAAATGTCCAATCTATGCTGTTGTCTTCTAGAGTCCAGAGTTATCCTTCTTCTGAAATGTGCCTCTATAAGAACTGCCACCAATCATAATCAAACTTTTATAATACAGTCTTACTGTTGTACAGAATGCTCTGACTCTAGCTACCCACAGGCCAAACAGCATCCAGGAAAGGTCATCCTAGGTCTGGTTTGCTGGTATTCAGCATATCTGTGGGGTACTCGCAACAAATAGATAATCTGATTGCAGGATAACTGCTTCCACAATAGATATGTATGGCCGAAAAAAATAACCGAGCCAAAGAGTCAAAGCCTGTTTGGTTATTCACTTCAGACATGTATGGCTATTTCTAGCCGTACATTGGCTGCGTTCGGCTCTCTTTGGCTCGGCCAAACAGCCTCGGCACGCTCGGTCGAAACAAAAGGAAGAGCACACTCGCCTAAGCCAATGCAACATCTGGATCAGCTGAGGCGAATGTTCAGCAGTTCAGTCTCTGCTGTTCACCCCTGTTCTCCAAGGGGCCAAACAGCAGAGTGTGAATTGCCAAACAGTTGGCTCTTCGTTCCGTTTGGTCATTCTGTTCACTACCTCAGCAAACAGAATGAAAAATGTTATGGTAAACAAAACGGAAAAAAAAACAGCATTGGGGCCCCTCCCCAAATCATACCAGATCATTTAGATCTGGTGGGAATGTTAGGGAGGACCACCGATGTAAAAAAAAAAAACATAGAGTTCCCCCACAGTCATTCCAGACCCTTTAGGTCTGGTGGGGCTTCTTTCTTTTTAGAAATACAAACTTTGTAAATTAAGGAGAACCCGTCATGTTCTGTAATCAGCGTATATGTAAATATAATTAGTAGAAATCATGCACTTCTGTGACGTTAGGATTTTTAAAAAAAAATTAAAAAGGATTATTAGCAAATTTTAGGATCTGTACCACATACAAACCAGTTATTTATTACATATCATGTTCCATTATGCCTGCTGAAGGATCTATTCTGACCAATAGAAAATGTCCAATCTATGCTGGTAGATATGTTGTTTTTCAAAGTCAAGAGTTACCCTTCTTCTGAAATGTGCCTTAAAAGAGAAGTATGGGGTAACCTCTTTATCCCATAGTTCTCTTTAGGGTCAGGGGAGGACATATACTAAGGTCCTCCCATGACACAAAGCTCAGTATATAGCAAGCTAAATACTGAGAGGGTTGCAGCCGGGACGGATCCCGACAATATTGTCAAGATCCACCCAGCTGGCTGATTGACAGCGGGCTCTGCCTATCTAGAGGCTGAGCCAGCTGTGCTCGCCCCCTCCCCATCTGATATGATATATGAACAATCAGATAATGATATGATACCCCTCCCCCGATATGGACGTCCATTATTCAGAGCACATTGTGTGACTTTCCATTGCTGTGTATGAAGCAGGACCGCTCGCCGGGATCATCTCCTTCCATCTCTGCCGGGTAACAATTGTATATAAAGCTGGCCATACACCAGGAGGATCTGGTTGGAAACAAATTGTTATTGGAACAAATGAACAATCGTTCTCCATCGTATAGAAAAACAAAGTTGAAGGTTCAGATGAAAAAATTTTCTGATTTCTTATCTGAAGAAATGAAATTCTTGCTGTGATTGTGATTTCTGTTCAGGAAAAATCGTAACGTTGTAATGTACAAAGATACCTGCTTAATACATCTGGGATTCCATTCAGGTATCTGGGCCACATTTTCAGGGCTTCCAGTGACATGAGACGACTCGGTGATGAGAAGAGCGAATGTTCTGATTTATCAGAATTCCGTACGGACATTGATTGGATACATGGCACTACTCATTGTATAAAAGCTGGTCGTTTTCTGAACCTGTTACGGGACAATTTCTTGGATCAGATGGTTGATGTCCCATCCAGGAACAATGCAATACTAGACTTTATAAGCTCCAACAATGCGGTCCTTATTTGGGAGACACTGGGTAATAGTGATCACAGGATGATTACTTTTAATGTTGGGTACAGAAAAGAGAAGTGTGTTGGTCTGACCAGAACACTAATCTTCAGAAAGGCAACCTTCGATAAGCTGCGCCACCTAGTATGCAACACTTTCTAACACTGGACACTGACCAGAAGTGGGATTGTTTTAAGAATACCTTACGTAATGCTATTGCAAAATGCATACCATTGGGGAACAAAAATAAAAGATCAAGAACTAAGCCTGCATGGCTAAATAAAATGGTAATACAATACATCAAGGAAAAGAAGATAGCATTTATAAAATATAAGATGGAGGGGACTGCATTGGCATTCCAGAGCTACAAGGAATGCAACAAGAGATGTAAACATAAAATCCGGACTGCTAAAATAGATTATGAAAAGCACATTGCCACAGTCAGTAAAAATAACCCCCCAAAATGCTTCCAATATATAAACAGTAAAGGGGTAAAGAAAGAGCAGGTCGGCCCAATAAAAGACAGGAACGAGAGATTAGTCACAAACGACAAGGAGAGGGCCGAGGTATTGAATTCATTTTTTTCCTCGGTATACATTTGAGAAAAAGACGGGTTTAATGGAGATAAGAATGTGAGCTGCTTGGGGCGTAATATACCACAGTGGTTGACGGAAGTCGGGGTTCAACAAAGACTTGATAAACTTATTGCAAATAAATAATTTGCATAACCTGCACCCCAAGGTACTTAAAGAACTCAGCCAGGTCATAGCGAGACCATTATTCCTCATCTTCAAGGACTCCATAATGACTGGTGAGGTACCAAGTGACTGGTGGAGGGCTACAGTAGTACCAATATTCACAAAAGTGTGAAGATACCAACCTGGGAACTACAGAACAGTCAGTCTAACATCAATATAATGCATACTGTTAGAGGGAATGATAAATAACTATTTTGTGGATTTTGTTCATGGAAATGGTATAATAAATGATAAACAGCATGGATTTAGGAAGGGTTGTTCTTGTCAGACCAACCTACTGACATTCTACGAAGAGGTGAGTAGAGATCTGGATGGAGGGAGGCCGGTGGATGTGGTATATCTGGATTTTGCCATAGCTTTTGACACAGTACCACATCAACACTTACTACACAGGCTGAGGTCTATGGGCATAGATGAAATGGTGTGTACGTGGATAGAGAACTGGCTACAGGAACGTGTCCACAGAGTATCTATAAATGGCTCCTTTTCAGATTGGTATTGGGTCATGAGTGGCGTGCCCCAGGGTTCTGTGCCAGGCCCAATACTGTGTAACCTGTTCATTAACGATATCAGGGAAGGTGCTAATAGCCATGTTTCTGTGTTTGCTGATGACACTAAAATTAGAAGGATAATAGACTCGGACTTAGACACTATAGCATTGCAGAGGGACCTGGATAAAATAGGGGAGTGGGCAACTATATGGCAGATGAGGTTTAATGTTGAATAATGTAAAGTAATGCACTTTGGGGTTAAAAATAGGCAAGCGGAATACATATTAATGGGGACTCCACTAGGGAAGTCAGAAATGGAAAAAGATTTGAGGGTCATAGTAGACAACAGATTGAATAATAGCTTGCAACGCCAGGCTGCAGCAAACAAAGCGAGCAGAGTACGTCTTGTACACAGTACAGAAGCGGCTTGTAAAATGGCCTGGATGGGAAGGGGGTTTAACACCGCGGATGTTAACTGGTTAATAGGGTTCAGACAGCTCCTGAGCTTCGGCTCACTTGCTTGTCAGCCGACTCAGCAAGTGAGCCGAAGAACCGATTCATTTCAAAGATCCGAACCTCCCATCTCTAGTGTGTGAATGTCTCCGGGTTTCACTTTCACTTTGTGGCTTCTCTCCAACCTTCTCAGTGTCACTCTGCCTGGTAACTGCTGACCATCTCTGTAATCATTTACCTATTGGAGGAAGATGAAGCGTCGTCCAATCAGCACACAGCTCCGCCCCCCCCCCCCCCCACCGGATCCCGGACTCACTGTGTGTGACTTTTCCTGAGCTCTGTGAAGTTTTGTTTTGGTCTCTCCGGGAGGATGAAGATGACGCCCCTCATCCTGATGATTCTGGGGGTGTACGGTGGTAAGTAGAGGACAATCTATATTCATCTTGTAAGTTGGAAGTTTTGTATAGAATTGTAGAAATCAATGTTCAGTGTGAAGTGAGCGGTGATAAAGGGAGAAGTATTGTGCAAATGACCAGCGTGGGATGTCGCTGTGTATAGAGAGGTGAGGGGTCAGACCCCCTGTTGTGAGAGGTAAAGGGGTCAGACCCCCTGTCAGGTTTGTATAGAGAGGTGAGGGGTCAGACCCCCTGCCAGGTCTGTATAGAGAGGTGAGGGGGTCAGACCCCCTGCCAGGTCTGTATAGAGAGGTGAGGGGTCAGACCCCCTGTCAGGTCTGTACAGGTCCTATTGGTTTACCTGATAGCTGATAGTGATTTGCATTGCTGTGTAAGCATTTCCTCTTTTTTTGATGTTTAGTGTAAATTTGTCTTCCATTTGCTTTCTTTTTTTGTATGTTCTTACTTGAAAAATCTTTGTTAATAAAAAAAATTATAAAAAAAGTTTTGTCTTTAGATTTACTTTAAGGCCTCATTCACAATGCTAACAGCCGGCGCGTTCAGATCCGTGCTGCGTGCACTAGGGCTGCAACAACTAATCGACATAATCGATTATTGAAAAAGTTGTCAATTTTTTCAATAATCGATTTATCGCCTTCCGATCAGTTGGCCCTGTTCACGGCTCCACACGCTGTGCGCCGCACCTCCTCCCCACCTCACGCTCGCCGCTGCCAGACCCGCTCGCATCAACATGCCGCACCTCCTCCCCACCTCACATTTCCTGCCCATCCACATCCACGATCGGCACAGGGACGCGGGGAGATGTAGTAAGGAGGAGCAGGTGTGGGGGGATGACAGCTGCTGATAGACAGGTCCGATCTCAGAAGCACGTTGCTGGAAGACTGCACTTTCCCACACATGGTGCTCTATAATGTATTGCTGGGATTTGTTGTACTCCTCTATAGCTGGTGATATTCTGCATTACGCTGTATAGAGGACTACAAGTCCCAGCAATAATACATTATACAGCGCAATGCAGAATACCACCAGCTGTAGAAGAGTACAACAAATCCCAGCAATAGTACATTATACAGTGGTACAATGCTAAATACCACCAGCTATAGAGGACTACAAAACCCAGCAATAGTACATTATACAGCACAATGCAGAATGCCTACAGCTATTATGTACTATTGCTGGGATTTGTTGTGGTCCTCTATAGCTGGTGATATTCTGCATTGTGCTGTATAATGTACTATTGCTGGGATTTGTAGTCCTCTATAGCCGGTGCCATTCTGCATGCATTGCTGTATAATTTTACACTTTCCATTTCACTATATTGCACACCGCACTATCTTTTTTTTTTTCTTTTTTACTTCCACCGCTCCAAGCTTGCTCCTGTGATAGACTACAACCTCAATACAAACTAGTAGTCCTATCACTGGAGCCATTTTTTAAACTTTATTTTATAGTTTATCCGATTAATCGAACCTAATAATCGGCTAACTAATCGATTTTGAAAATAATCGTTAGCTGCAGCTCTAGCGTGCACGACCGTATCGGGCCGCTCCCGGGAAGGACAGGTGCTGCGTGTCATTGTACCCAGCAGCCTGTTCTTCTCTGTGGGAGTACGCCGCCATACGCTCGCCCGAGCTGCACGTCCGTGTGGGTGCGGGTGTCCATACTCGTACGCTGACAGGATGGATCCTGTCTGCGTCCGAGCACATACATCCGCACCCACACGGACGTGCAGTTTGTGTGAGCGTACAGCGGTGTACGGCTCGTCCTCTCATAGGCCTCATTCACACTGTTCAGAGCCGGCCCATACAGATCCGTGTGGCGTGCACGGCCGTATCGGGCCACTCCCGGGAAGGACAGGTGCTGCGTGTGATTGTACATGTCTGTGTACGAGTACAGACACCTGCACCCGCATTGATGTGCAGCTCGGGTGAGCGTACGGCCGCATTTTCCCATAGAGCAGAACAGGCTGCTGCCTATTTACCCGACGTGACCCCGTCTTTTATATTTTACCAAAAAATTGGGTAATAATGTTTTATAACATAACGTAGGGAGAACAGGTTTTTTTCCAAAATTTTCAGTACTTTTTTCATTATACAGTAAAAATAAAAACCCCAGTGGTGATTAAATACCCCCAAATGAAAGCCCTATGTGTCCTCAAAAATTGATATAGAATGTATTTCAGTACAGCGTTGCATGACGGAATAAATGTCAGTCAAAGTACCGCAGCGCTGAATACTGAAAAATGGCCTGGACAGGAAAGGGGTGTAAACACCACGGTCAGCAAGTGGTTAAAGAAGCTCGCAGGCACTCAGACAAGATAGATTCAAAGAAAATATAAGAAAACAGGAAGAATTTTCATTTTCAGCAAATTCACCCTCTCAATCAGCAACAAAGGTAAGTTCTTCCATGCCAGTAATCTACCCTTCAACTTGGAAAATAATGGAAGAAGGTTCAAAGAGTAATAATCCGAAACTCAAGTAGCAATCCGAACCGCTAAGTAAGTAATTTGGGGGACAGATTGCAAAGTAACAGAACTACCAATCCCATAGTGCCCGAATCTAACGGAAGAATATGTGATTTGGTCCAATTTATCCGCAGGCCCGAGAACATGGAAAAATAAATCCAGAATCCAGAGAAACTCCCTAAGGGAGGGACCTGCATCGGCCAAAAAGAATATTAAATCATCTGCATAAAGTGCAAGCCTCTAATAGAACCCACCCAAAGCCCACCAGAGATCCAGAGGATCACATTGCCACCATCAATGGCTCCATCATCAAGGCAAAGAGCCCCGGGGACAAGGGGCAACCCTACCGGGTACCCCTACCCACAGAAAATCTGAGAGTGCCATGCCTATTTTAAAAGAGGATTTAGGATTACTGTAGAGAATAGCAATTCAGCGATGGAAATTAGGACCAAATCCCATATGTGTTAGAACTACTCCCATATAACCCCACTCCACTGAGTCAAAGGCCTTCTCAATATCCAGAGAGACCAAAGCTCTAGAACCGACATTTACATGAGAGAGTTGTAGGTTCGTAAAAACTCTATGTAATGCTGAGCACACACCTTACAACCATCGCAAGACGAAAGTCTTGCGATGGTTGTAAGGTACGAAAAAATTTACGATCTGCCTATCTTGGACAGGCAGATCATACTTGCGATGATCACAAGCCGCGCCCCCCTGAGGGGCTTGCGCACACCGGCCTGTCCGGCTTTTATCGTACAAACATGCTACACACCCGGCGAACATAGTACGATGCTCGGCGGGTTTTCGAACATGTCCGTAAGTTAAAAGTAGTGCGACCTTACAGTATTAGATACTAAACCCAGGAATAGTTGGTTACTGAAAGCCATATCTAGTCTTGAGTAGGAGCCATGGGTATAGGACACATATGAGAAACCCCTAAGCCCAGGGTGCTTCCACCCCCAAACCTCCATAAGAGAAGCAACCTCAGCTCACACTAACAACTCAGTACCAGGCGCTAATGCAGGATTCAGAGAATCCAAAGTAGGGTCAAGGACATTATTAAAATCCCTAGCAAATACCACAGGGATAGGGAGAAATTAAACTGCAAATGTGTGTGAGTGCACCTCCAAAACCAGAACCACATAGTGACCCCCTGGATCCAGAAAAAACCTGTACAATAGTACAAGGCAAAGATTTACTAATACGAATAGATACCCCCCTGGCATAAGCTGAGTAGGTAGCATGCAAGGTTCTCTGAATCCAGGGATGACGCAACGCCAACACTCGCTTACCTTCCAAATGTGTCTCCTGCAATAGAATCTTGCCCCACTCAATATGGCCACAAGCGCCGGCCATATTAAGTGGGGCAACTCAGATTAATAACGTGCTGGATTAGTCTGACCCTAGTTCATTTTAATACTTTATTGCTGTGTAGTATGTGTATAAGGAAATGCCGCAGGTGGCGCACGTGCAGTACAGCCTTCTCGGCCAAACCTCTTCTAACTAAACCGGAAGTCAGGTCATTGTAGATCTCGAGGAGTTGGAGTTTTCGACAGAACCCCCCGGCAATGCCTTAGTACTGCCAGGATTTATCCGCGATCATAAATCCGGCCCTATGAGTGTCTGACTTCCTCTACAGCACTTATATTAAAGCTGCAATGACATTATTAAACTGGAACTTCCATAAATGTGACACCACAAGACCCGATTCCTCCTCCCGAGGCTCCTTCCCTCCATGATATTGCAGCAGGGCAGGAGAGACTCCAACATACATGATGGTGATTGGAGGAGAAGAGATAGAAGTTTGGAATGACGGATCATATACGGAGATTGTTGTCTCTGATCATTGTACATACATCCCATCTCTCTCACATCGGGGGGATTATTTCTGTACATTGTTCTCTTCATATAAAGTAGACATGAGCCGATATTCTTATTCAGCAGAAATCTGGGTCAGTGATGAAACTTGTATTTCTCCATTATATACATTATGATGTGATGTAACAGGATTTGTAGATAACAGTCTCTATGTCTCTCTCAGACACTCACACTCTGCGGTACTATTACACTGGAGTCTCCTCTCTGGGATCCGGACTTCCTGTCTTCTCTTCAGTCGGATATTTGGATGATCGGGAGATAACAAATTATAATAGTGACACTCATCATTGTCTTCCCAAGACTGAGTGGATGAAGAAACTGGGATCTGAATACTGGGAGAGAGAGACACAGACAGGTCAGAACAATGAGGCCGTGTCCAAACATGGTGTGCTGACAGCGATGAGCCTATACAACCAGACTGGAGGTGAGAGAATTCTTCCACATTTATATGACACACACACCAGATACAGGGAGGAGATTCACCAACTATTCCTCCGGCTGAGAAAACACAGGAGAGACATTTCATGATTTACTAGAAGATCTCAGACTGATGAATACATTCTTCCGTCATCTGATCAGAATTAGCACCGCACCTATTATAATATATCACACCGACCTCCTATAGGAAACCCATCCTGAGGGAAATATGGAGGCCGCCATTGGTGATCGCCTCTACTCAAGATGCTGTTTGCCTAACTGCCATGCTGACCCATTGCTTTCAATGCATTGAGGGTCCATTTAGATTTATGTGTTTGGTGTATAAAGGTGCATTTTCTGTAGCGTTAGGAAGGTGTGTTGTTGTCCGTCAATATGCGTTTCCATTGTCCACTGATATGTGTTTTGACTTGTGTTTCCAGTGCTTTTTCTTACATTAATGTTTGGAGTGGATAGAGTTAAACACCAATGACCAAGGCTTTTTAATACCTGTTGCCCACACATAAAATTGCATGTTACATACATTCTGATGCATTGCCATTCTTCTATGGCCAACTTCTATGGACCACCCAACGCACTAAAAGGCGAAAGAAATAGACACGTCATATTTTTTAAAATGTGCTGCACTGCAGCTCTGAGATGGGTAGAGACAAAATATTATGGGGAACCACAACACATGCATTCAGGGCTGATTGAATCTAATGATCTGCGCTTATAGATAATAAACTGCTAATATGGGTGATGAAGCTACCACAATACAGACCAAAAAGTCCCAAGCATATACAATCAATGACGATTATGAGGCGCTAGATACCCTATTGTACCTAAATAATAATAACAATTCTGTAAGATACCCAATATTCTTAATTAATAGTGAAAATTAGAAGTGAAAAATAATCATGATGTGCCACAAACAAACTATAATGGTCCATTACAACCATCCAGATATATATTATCACAATGGATAATTGGTGACTTTGTAATCAAAATCAATAATAAATCTTTATAATGTGATAAATGTGATGAATGTCAATTCATATTAATAATTCGTGACTCATCACGTTCTCAAGGGGATAGAAGGTCAATTATTTTAGTATTACGAGCATGCTAAAAAATCCGCCAAAAATCATACGATTGTGTGTGTGGGGGTCATTCTCCTTGGATGCACGATCGATGCAGTGACACCGGGAGGTGCTTATTGAGGTGATTGCAGGTCTCTTTATGGATTTCCTGTGACATGATCTCCCTGTCCAAGCTGCAGCCATGATGAGGGAAGATATTCACCGTCACTGGGGGAGGGGTAATGTGCACAGTGTGTGATTGGCTGTTAGGACATGGAGGGAAACAGCAGCCAATGAGATGATGATCTGAAGATATCACACCTGATTGGTGAATATGTTTATCAGGTGAGGACAGCCAATCAGTTATGAGATCCTCCGTCCAGTGCTGGAATGTGAGTCTGTGACCCCATTCTGGGGTGTCACTGGGAGCCGGGTGTCTTATTCTCACATACTGAGGATTTGTATCCGAGTTTCCATTAGAAAGGAGCTTTCTGCCATAGTGGAGTGATATATATCTGTAGTACTGGCAGCATCATTATAAGGAGAGCGCTGTGCTGTATATGTACTCCCTGCCTACAAACATATATCCCCCAATATCATCACCTTCTACACAGCACATATTACATACATGACACACTCTACTCCCGTGTAACATCTTCTATACTGTCTGCAGGGATCCATATTGTCCAGAACATGTACGGCTGTGAGCTGAAAGATGACGGCACCACTGACGGGTATGATCAGTACGGATATGATGGGAGAGATTTAATGTATCTGGACACAAAGAATGGGATCTATATCCCGACCATGAAGGAGGTTCAGATCACCACACAGAGATGGAACAGCCTGGAGGAGAAAAGGGGGGAGAGATGGAAGAATTATGTGGAGAATGTCTGTATTCCATGGTTGAAGAAATACACCGAGTACGGGAGAGAAGATCTGGAGAAGAGAGGTGACTGATCTATATTACAGAAAATTGTTATCTGTACTTACCGTAATTTTCCTTGTTTGGCTCTCCTTCATGTCAGCATACCAATGGTTGAAGAAAATAGGTCACCAGCACTCCATAAGTTAAAATGAATGAGTCCTTTTAATGGACAATGATGTCACAGAAATCCAACATGAGCCGACGTTTCGGGGCCACACAGGGTCCCTTCTTCAAGGCAAGAGATGTGACGCATCTCTTGCCTTGAAGAAGGGACCCTGTGTGGCCCCGAAACGTCGGCTCATGTTGGATTTCTGTGACATCATTGTCCATTAAAAGGACTCATTCATTTTAACTTATGGAGTGCTGGTGACCTATTTTCTTCAATCTTGTGTTTTGCACGGTGCCATCCGTGAAGTTACTTCGAGCACCATTTATTTGATTGTTGGCCGGGACTGCTGAAAGGTGTGCGGAGGGCACCTCCATCAATAGCATACCAATGGGTTTACTCTGCCCCCAACTCCAGGTAGTATAAATCCTCCCTCCTTCACTCCACATATGACTTTAACACGCCGAGCGAAGGTAAACAGGTTGGGAAAAATATGCGGACATGAGGGAGAGCCAGGAAAGGAAAATTACGGTAAGTATAGATAACAATTTTCTGTACTATAGTACATTATACCTACACAATATATACACACACTATACTATATACACACTATATCTGCACACACTACACTATATACACTTTACTTACACACTGTATACATACTATACTATATGCAATAGGGGGAATTTATGAAAATTGGAGCAGACAAATTCTGGAGCAGATCTGGACTGCAACCAATCAGCTTCTCTGTCTCATTTTTTAAATCTTACCTGAGCAAACTGAAGTGAGATGCTGATTGGTTGCCATGGACAAGAGCTCCATATTCTGTCTGCTCCAGTTTTGATAAATTCCTCCCACTATGCCTACACACTATATTCCATCTTTACAGCATCCTAGTAAAGATCTCCCGATGTGTCTGCACCCATATGTTAAAAGTATGGGATGCACTTAGAATGGGAAGACTTCAGAACTCTGCATATTATGGCCCTTTGACCCCTGTCATGGATAATCCAGAATTTAGGCCAGGAGTAGAGACACAAAAAATATTTATGTGGTATAAGGCAAAATTGTCCCCCATTTACTTGGCTTTGACTGAGGAGGAGTTGGAAACTTGTACGGAATTGCTTGGAGAATCAACTGAGGAGGAGACAGTGGCTGAGATATTTTCAACTTCAAGATTTTTACAATAAGTTTCAGAGCAGGAAGCAGATACTTAGGGAAATGACATTATTGGACAAACTGTATTTGAGAGAAGGGGTACCGCAACACGTAGTTTCAGTATTTTATAATATATTGCTGATATCAGTGACCCCAAAAATACCATATTATATAATGGAGTGTGAAAGAGAGTTGGATTGTAAGTTCTCATACAGTATAGTGAGCCGATAAAATCATACACACTGACACATAAGCTCTCGATGGTAAGTAATGTGCAGGAAAGAAATTGTACAATTTTGACAAGGTGGTATCGTTGCCCAGCCAAACTGCATGCAATTTTCCCACAGGTTTCTAGTAAATGCTGGAGATGTCAACAGTCATTAGGGACAGTGGCACCTATATGGTGGGAGTGCCCTCGGATTAAAACTTTTTGGACAAGGGTATTAAATGTTTACAACATATATCAAAAACAAGAGTGGAACGCACACCTCAGATAGCATTACTTTCCATTCCCCAGGGGGGGGATAGCAACAGCAAAGAAGGGCCTCCTCCATTTTTTCCTAAGTGCAGCTAGGACAGTTATACCGCGGTATTGGAATTCAACAGAACCTCCAACACTGTGGCAATTGATGGAGGACATGTTTTTTCAACAGCGGATGGAAGATCTTGGGGCTAGGATGCAAGACAGATTCCCTCGGTTCTTGGACACGTGGGATAGTTGGATTTAAAGTTGTAAGATTGCTCAAATAGAAGAAATAGCGGGAAAAGGGCCTACCCAAGGGTATATGGTATAAATTGTATACATTCAAATTTATAAGGCGCCAGCCTGTCCAAAACTTTAAAAACATTTTTTTTTATAGTGGAAGTTTGTTTATCTGGAATGAAGTTGAAGATGGTTTAGCTCTGGCTTTATAGCACCTCTTCTTAGGCCTCATTCACACTGCTTAAACCTATTTCGGGTCGTTCCCAGGAAGGACACCTGTGATTGCTAGCAGCAGCCTGTTTTTCGCTTTGGGAGGACACGTCCGTACGCACACCCGAATTGCACATCCATGCAGGTCCGAGTGTCTGTGCTCCGCTGCAGACAGGATCCATCCTCTCTGCGTCTGAGTACGGACACCCGGACCCGTACAGATGCTCCGCCTCCTGAGATAGATCACAGCCGTCACCGCCGCAGACTGCTCCCTATCCTGACACAGGAGGCCAAGCCAGGAGGTGTGGGAGGAGAACTCTGTCTCCTGTGACATATCGCAGCTGTCACCGACCCGGACCGCTCTCCATCCCGACACAGGAGGCCAAGAAGGGAGGTGAGGAAGGAGATCTTGGCCTCCTGCAATGATGACAGCTGTCACCGCGCCGCTCTCCATCCTGAAAGCTCCTCTCCTCCTCACTGGGCACTGGCGCTGCATCGCAAGGCACACAGACCGATGCCCAGCGGGGAGGAGAGAAGCTGGGATACACTGAATTTTCAGCCGTCATGGCACTTTCAACCGAAATGTTTCAGCGGCTGAAATTTTGGTGCATCCTTAATTATAGGGCTACATGCACAGGGCTGTAAGAAATTTACTGATCATGTACATGTTTTTTTTTTCTGGCTCAAAAGTTCAATCGTAATGATCAGTAAAAAGCTTGCACTTAGATGTGTTTAAATGCTTAAAGGGTAATTCCAGATTCCCAGGCGAATTTAGGAAAATGGAATTGCCCCCTTTTCCCCCCCCCAAATCTTTTTACCTTTAGCTAAATGCTCCTTGCCCTCCTCTGGTGCCGGTGTACTACCCATACTCCGTACAAAGCAGTGCACTCTGTGCTCTGTATTTTAAATCTAATTTTCTTGTTTTAGCTTCATGTACACGAGTATATGCATAAACATGTGTTTACATGCATATGCGCATAAAATTTATGTTTTCAGACGTAGATTTTTCGATTTTTGTCTTACGAATCTGAACACAGCGCATGTTTAAGCACCTCTGTGAACCTAAGCCTTCTACTGAGAACTAAATTCAGCCACAGAAGACTCTGAGAGGGCTATAGACTCCTGAAACACAAGAATTCTACCCAGACACAATTATTCAGACAGCAGTAGTAACTGACAAATAATGCAATGCATGGTAAAATGAATCTCGGGGTCACCAATGGGTGAACTAAAACTATCAGGTTGTTGAATCCGTGTTGTTAAATCAAAGTGTAGGTGTTTATAACCTTTAGTGCATATTCTGCTACCATACCCTAGTGGTAGCCAGTGAGATATTAAGTACATAATTTCACTTAGTGCAAAAGTGCAATGAAATAAACCTTATTATAAAAAATTACCTTGTTACAATCAATTAATAGTATAAAAAACGTGTATCAAATTAGTCAAATTTGGTAAAATAATTTAGTTCAAACCCCTGTACCAAACCGCTATGGAGAAAAAACTGCAATGCTTGCTGGCGGTCATATTTGCTGCACACTTAAATCAATGTGATTCTAATGAGATTACAGTCAACAAGCGGGTAAATCTCTCAGTAGCAAATAGATTTAATCACCAATTCAGAAGGACTCAGAAGGACACACATCCAACTGATGAGGCCAGGAAAATGGAGAGCCAGGAACCTATATTGATGTGATTATGAAATGTAGTAATTTATAGATACATTCTAATTCCATCCAACGTCTAAAGTAGATCTGTCACAGACCTGGACAAGAGGAGACCTTCAATGAAAACCACTAAGGAAAATGATCAGTAGATCCAGAGATTATATGCAAAAGTTGAATATTCTCCTTCCTCCTAAGCCTTCCTATGGGTCCTTTTAAAAGTTGCTCTTAATGATAAATTGGGACGCTCAAGTGGTGGAAGGGGGTCAGTCTCAACTGTTACAGGAATACCTGAGACGTCAATACATCTAGTCTGTCTCATGATCTACTGATGGCTTTAGGGAAGGTAACCTCTTCTTTTGTATATCCTCATATACTCGGTGTAAAGTGGGGACTTCTTAAGTTGTGATTGTTTTCTTAGGTGATTCTCCAGTTTCAGACAGCCCAGAACAAGTGCAGTTGAGAACATGTGCAAAAAACATGCAATTGAAAAAGTAGTGCAAGCTCTGAAGAAAACAGGTGCAAACCACGTGCAGTTGGAAACGTAGTCCAAGCTCTGGTGAAAACAGGGGCACATGTTAAAAGGTAGATTTACACATAAAATAAAATGAAGCTAAAACTGTCGCAATTGCTTTGATAAATTCCCCCCAGTATATTCAGTCAGTATACATTTATCATAATTAGCATTTCTTTTGTCTCTGTTTGTTGTTGCTCTATTATGTATCCTGATTTTACAGACTTCCCTCCTATTCGTTGTCTTTGTAATAGCAAATTCCTTTAGCATCACTGCTGGGGGCAGCTGAAATGAAACCAGTTATCCACACACAGAAAGTCCAATGTTTGATCAGGCTGGTAGACTTCAAAAAGGAACAATAAAGTACAACCACTGTGTAGCACTGCTAATTTGGAAGCACGGCTTGTATATGTAATGGACACATATGTCTGCTCATATGTGTCTCTATTAGCCATATACAAAGGTCATTGGTTCTCACTGGTAATGAGGAGGGAATTAGTTGCAACTAAAATAGACAGTACGTTTTACCAATGCTCCTAAGTATCTTAAAACCTTAAAAGTCCTCTTCTTCCTTCCATATCTGACCCCTTTACAAATTATCATATTCTCACTACAGGTTCATGTTAAATTGACTCCTTTGTAACGTGTAATTCTAATATCTGATGTCACATACTGCTCCCTATAACACTCAGATTCCTTTATCCATTTCATAAATTTCACTGCTCACATCTTTCTCACACTGATGATGTTTGTACGAGGCAACGGAGTTGGCTGCAGACACTGCACTTCTACAGATTTTTATTGCACATGTGTGTGCTTGTTTTTTATCCTTTTCACTGCACAATTGGCTTGTACTGTCCTAATTTACACAGACCTACCCTATTATTATTTAATGCTCATATGAAAGTCATCAGAACATGTGATCTTCTGTACAACCAGCAGATTTTTATTTTGCTCTTTTTCTCTCTCAGTGCGTCCAGAGGTGAAGGTGTGGGGCCGTCCTCAGTCAGACGGGTTGACAAGACTTGAGTGCCTGGTGTATGGGTTTCACCCCCGGGCTGTGCATGTGAAGTGGGTGAGGAATGGGGTAGATGATGTTCTTTCAGATGAAATGAGTCCAATTCTCCCCCATCCTGACGGCACCTATCAGATCAGAGTCAGTGTGGAAGTGCCAACAAGGGAGGAAGACACTTACTCCTGTTATGTGGACCACAGCAGTCTGGGGACTAAGACTCTCAGTGTGAAATGGGGTGAGTGAAATTTACATAGACTATATGACACCTGAAAGAATGTGGTAAGAGTGCAAACTGTTTGTTGTGGAAATATAATGTGGCAATTCAACTCTCTATAAGCTTCCTATGCTGAAATACAAAGGGCATTTTAATGGGATCTCCACACATAGCAGTGTTTTTATTTTTATTTTTTTAGGTTGGATGTATTGTCATGTTATACTGTATTATGACCACTAGATGGAGCTGTTCATTGAAGGACATGGCCATCTCTTTATTCAATGGAAGGGTTATATCGCCACTTGCAGGAGGATGCTAGGCACAAAACAAGCAGCACAGCCTTGGGGACGGCCCCTACTATTGGCTCAACAGTAGCTAGAGGCAGCTCAGTTTTTTGCCTAGCGTCGAGGAGTAAGAACCTAGCTCCCTGTGGGATCTTCGTCACGTGTTTATTTTTGTTCCTGTTCCTCAGCGTGGATCTTCAATCAACAGCCAAGCTGGGTGACAGGCTGAATATCCTAGATCCTTGTAGCCTCCCCAGCTCAGCAGCTGGGCACACGTAATGTAACGTACTTGCCTCTCCTCCGTTCCGGTCTCCGGAGGTGGCGCCACCTTCTCCTCCACGGCATTATCCTGCTCCTCCCTCCTACCTGGTTTAAGGCTCCAGATTCAATTGCTCTGCGTCAGTGCAAAGTGCAGACGCAGGGCAATACCTCCCCCACACGTCCTCGCTGTAACCTGCTCTCCACTCCTTCAAAACATACCCCTCATATCATCGTCTCAGCTGCAGACTACTGCTCTGAGGATCCATCCTTCCAAAGCTGGGTATTGATAGAGTCCTGCTTCTCTTGCTCATATGCCTCCTTCTGCACTATTGTCAGCTGCCGCTCCTGGCAATTGTCCAGCTTCTCTGTGTGTTGATGGATTCCAGCCCTGTGTGAAGACCAACCCTCTCTGGGACAGCTGACAGGCTGCTTATCAGCATATACAGATTCATCCAACCTGCTCCCCATCCAGATTACTGCACAACTTGATCCATCCTTCACTACAGGTTGTCAAGCTGTGTTTCACATTTTTCCATCCCTACTAATTAAAGTACAAGCTTGCTCAGCAGATGCCTCCTGAACACGTCGCCACCTCAAGCCTGTCTAAATGCAAGTAACAATTTAAAACAATTGTCCTTGGTGGGACTTATTCCCAAATATTATTTAATCTGTTTCCATGAACTGGTTATCATATACCTTATACTTCCTTGTTACATAAAAAGGCCAGATAACTGTCTAGAGACTTTGATTTATCCCAGTTATTCTGTCTTTGTTGTATTCATTCTACTAATCTGCAGCTGTGATCCAAGGAATTAAGCACTACTGAGCATATTGTGTTACACGCAGAGCCCTTTTTGATGGCTGGTTTGGCTGCAACAGCCCCTTTCCGGAATCTGGGGCAGCCTGTGAGACATCTCACGTTGGGCCACATATGATTGAGCAGTCTGGGGATGATTTGTCACAGTGTCCCCCCTAGGCTCCCAGCACCCCCGCCACAGTGGGAGGCAATTTGGGAAGGGAAATGGCACCATTGCAATTGTCCTGGTCAGGTAAGTGGAAGTGTACCTCCTGTCCCCTGGGGAGCAGACTGTGTGCCTGTATTCTCCCTTTGTGTTTGGGCTGCAGGGGGCCACCTCTCCACTCTGTGGGTCACCTCACTGCCGATAGGCTCATCTACCTCCCTTCATCCCCAGCCACCCTGTGTTCCCTGGCCACCATTTCTCGTTGGATTAGACAGGTTATTGTTCAGGCCAATGCCCTTAGGGGTCAGTCTCTGCCTTTTCTGATCTCATCTGGTCTTTTCAGCGTCAAAACTGTAGTGCACACCTTCACTCGGTTTTACAGAGTTGATGTTGTTGCCTCTGTGAATGCGGGTTTCAGCCGCAAAGTTCTGCAAGCGGCTGTTTAGTGTTTGGGTTTCTTTTTTTGTTCTATTTGGTTGCCCGCTCCTCATTCTCAGTGATTTGGGATGTCCCTTCCTTTAAATTAAGAAATGGATGTGTCCTTCAATGAACAGGAGAGGAAATAGGATTTTTGCTACTCAACATAAAATCCTTCTCTCTACATTCATTGAAGGACACTGCCCCTTCCCTTCTGGAAGGTGTCTGTCTTGTCTCTACTGATTTGGGATAAACTGAGCTGCCTCCTACTAGTGGGGGTTGAGCCACCAGCAAGGGCCACCCCTAAACTGTGCTGCTTCTTTTGTGCCTTGCATTCTTCTCCTACAGGTGGTGATCTAACCCTTCTGTTGAATAAAGAAATGGCTGTGTCCTTAATGAATGCAGAGAAAAGGATTTTATGGTGAGCACAACAATCCTATTTTCCTATGCTCCTTTGCCCCATCTAGTGGCCATGACTTTAGAACGTTTGTTATTGTCATGATAGGCACAAAACAAACATTCACAGATATTCTCCCTGTGAATTGTTTAAAAATAGACCCCACAGTATATCTCTTCTGTAATTCAGGCTTCTTACCTTCTAGATGACCAAAGTAAAAATAGACAGCACAGCGCTCAATAAGGTGTTCTTTCACGTCAACGTAGCAGGAGGGAGCTACCGTCCTCGAGATCACCAGGAAGTATACTTCCTCACACACCATGCAAAACAAGATAAGAGGGGACAGCGTCCACTCCTAGTGTAAATCATTTTTTTAATGGTAAATGGAGTGCACATACACTAACAAATCACTACACACATTTCGATGAACAATAAATAGCACACATAGATCAAAAAGGCAACCAGAAGGCTGACGCATTTCGGGAGAGATTCCCTCTTCCTCAGAGCTTTCTTGTTTTCTTACCTTCTCGTTTCCATTCTGCCTTTGTGTGGATACTACGCCTACACTCATCACACACGGCTATATAGGAGGATATATGTGCACTGGAATATTCCTGCCTGCCGTTCCTCATACATTTCAAGGCAACTTCATTTTTCAGAATTTTTAATAAATGTTATTCAAAAACCCCTATAAATTATTTAGCATGCAATTTGCATTTACTAGCCCCCAGTTTGAAATTGTATTGTCACACTGATCTAAACAGAGCAGAATCATTTATTTAAAGTTGGCTAATGCTTGTCACAACTTTGTTATCGCAATCATTTATAAGTAAGAATCCCATTATCTCTAACATCTTTATATTCTCTTTATGTTTTATCTCTGTCAGATCCTCTGGGCAATGGCCTCCCATTTGCAGTGATTGTTGGCGTTGTCATTGGGATCCTTGTTGTTCTTGCTGTTATTATCGCAGTTATTTTGTGGCTAAGTAAGTATACGGGAGAGGGAATAATACTTTTCATTGGCACACTAACAATGGATTTTTATTTTCACTGGTATGCAGTCCAGGGGATATACACATTGGATGTCGGTCTGTAATATGCTTTGTATAGTTTGTGTAAACTCAGGGCTTGTGACTTTGTTATTGTTAAGGAACCAAGAAACCAGACAGAAACTTAAAGTGCAGGTTTAAAAAATAAAAGGAGTTTATTGAAAACAACAATAAACATAAATGGCAAAAAACAATAGAGAAAGTGCAGGACGTCGTCTGTGCCAAGCCAGGGGTAAGACAGCCAAAATGGGTAGTCAGCCAAACCAGGTCAGGGAGTACGGAGAACAGGATGAACCGAGACAATAGCTGGGGTCAGGAACCAGAAGATCAGTCAGCCAGAGCCAGGGTCATACAGAGCAGGGACTTCTGAGCACTTGGTAGACCAGAATAAAACACAAGGGCGGAGACTCAATGGACAAGGTGAAGGTTAAATAGTGAACTGGCGCCTGCATCATCACTGTGAGACAGGAATTTGTCAGGAGTCTTGCCAGTAGCAGCAGAATGAAGATGTTTGCTGGTTTGGACATAAGGGGGAGCCAAAGGGGAACAGCAGTGCCAGAAACACTACAAACCATGCTGCAAGTGACTGGACAAGGAAGGGTAAGAAACCCTGACAGTTATTTTAAGGTGCCTATTGACATGAGATGACATTTCGGAGATTTGGCTTATTTGAGGATACAATAGTAAGTCTGCAGACAATTGGCAACAACGTATCTGAGAGGCATCAGGGGAGTGAGAGATCTTACAGGTTAGATTTATAGGGTGGGAAAAATCCCAGGAGCCAGGTAGCCAAGGCTTCTAAAAATGACAGTTGGCACCTTTTTTGAGGTTTTCTCTAGTTCTTGCCAATGGATATGGCTGCTAAAGAAAAAAACCCTGCTGGCTCCTGGGTTGGACAGACTGGCTCCTGAATTTCATATTAATTTCTCCTCCCCTGGGTTATAAAATCTTGAGAAATGGTGACAATGTTTTTTTTTTTTGCAACATATGTACCGTGCCATCCCCTCCCACTCCAAAACCAGCATGTGGAGGGCTGCGCATGGGACACAAAACACTGTGAAAGGTCCAGTCATTCCTGTACATCTGACTTTTCTCCATTGTCTATTGCCAGCTTCTTTCTCACCCTCCGCGCCCCTCCTGACACCCTCTGCGCCCCTCATGACACCCTCTGCGCCCCTCATGACACCCACTGCACCCCTCCTAAGACCTTCCGCACCCCTCATGACACCTTCTGTACTCCTCCTGACAACCTCCACACCCCTCCTGAAACTACCTCTGTGGATGATTACAGTAAGTTGAAAATAAAAACAGAAATGGTTTAATGTTTTATATATTGGGGGGAAAAAAGGTATCAAAATCATGTTTTTTTCCGGGGGGGGGGCCTTTATGGTTTTCTTGCACCGGGGCCCTGAGGGTTCTAGTTACGCCTCTGTTTGGAGTCAATAGGCTAAAGACACTTGCTGAAATAGAAGTATGGGAGCTATCATTGCTGAGTTCTCAACAAAGAAGCTCACAAACTGATCTCACTCCAAAATACTCCAATACCATATATAGGACATATAAAAACAACCAATCTTCATTAATAATAATGTTGGAATAATCTAGTTGCTGCTCTTGGTCAGTACTTGGTGTTGTACACAATGATTTCTCTCAGTAGCGTATCGTGTCCTGACACAGCTGTTTATATTAGGTTAGTGAATGACTAGGCAGTAAAGCAAGGATAAGGATGTCACCTATGGAGATTTCAGCAATGGCAGCTCTCATATTGTGTCTTGAAGTGTGTCTTGAAGGAACTAGTTATTACTTTTAAAATAAACCACATTAAATTGGTCCCCAGTTGATAACACAGGATCCTCAAGGTGCCTTCTTGCACCACTTGAATATCTTCAGATCACCCGGGGTACCCTAATACTTGGGGCATTCTTTTATAGCTGATTCTGTAATCATGTGTTCAACAGAGAAAACAAGGAGGGAAGCGCTACAAACTAAGTGAGAGGGCGTGTTACGGAGCCAGGGAGGAGGGAATGGGAAAGGTTGGGAGGAGCAGTCTTAATTTCTGTGGTCGCTGTATTTTGGTACATTGTCCTTATTACTTTTTGTAATCATGTGTTGCCCAACTCTTTTCCACTCCCATGCCTTCCTATTGGCCAGTAAGGCAGCCTATCACATTTGGAGACATACAGGAAGGTATGACAGGTTGGAAAGAGGAAGCCATGAAAGCTCTGGTTGTTGTTTGCATAACAAATTGATCCCGAGGTTAGGGAATCCCTCAGCAAAATTAAGATTATCTGAGGGCTTAGAAGGGACACCTCCTGTGTGAACTGGGGACCAGATTAACAAGTAAGAACATCCCTCAAGTGAACTTAAACCAGAGACCGGGTCTGCTTTGACAACCAAAAACAAAACAGTGAACACATTAGGCACCTTTTAGAGCATTGCTGAGCTAACTCCCGAGATTTCTGCAGACATGCCCATTACAAGTAATAAAACAAAACCATCACGTAGGAAGGCAAAGCAGGAAGCAGAGCCTGCATATGTAATGAGCAAATACAGCTGCACCCTGTACAAGGTTTTCAAAATATTAACAAATTCCTGATAGTTATATCAAACTGTGCATTGCGTGTAACAATTTACATTTTTACCTGGTAGGAAATATTAATATTACAGTTCATGGGTTGAAGTTCTATTTTCTGGTTACTAACTCCATGTCTTCATATTTCAGAGAAGAACAAGACTGACTATACGAGCACCAACAGTGAGTACTCTACTGCTATGGTCCTTCTATTGCTGTGTTCCTCTGTATATTGGTGTGCTTCCCTGTGTAGCATTTTATAGTATTTGTTGATTTGTATATAATTATATAATCCTTCTAAGCCTAATATACAATGGGGGAAATGTATCATATCTGGAGCAGACAGAACCGGAGGAGCTGTGCATGGCAACCAATCAAAATCTCTCTTCAGTTTGTTCAGTTAAGCTTTAAAAATGAAAGCTAGAAGCTGATTGGTTGCCATTTAACAACTGTTCCAGTTTTGATAAATTCCCCTCAATGTAACCTAGGCTGCCGACACCATCTCCTCAGTGTTCCATTTTATATTAGTATGATTTGTAGTTTATTATCCTTCTAAGCCCAATATACATTGGGTGCAATTTATCAAAACTGGAGTAGACAGAGTCAGGAGCAGCTGTTTTGATAAATTCCCCTCAAAGTAATTCAGCCCGCCGTCACCATCTCCTCCTCATTATTATTAGTGCTTTCTCTACACCCTAATGCCTCACCAAAGTTTTAAAAAAATAAAGTGGTCCTGGGTAATTTTTTTTAAAATTCTTTATTTATAAACTTTATTTATAAATCAGATACACTGATACCGATACGGACTACTGGTACTCGTGAAAATGCCACAATACATTTTTACATAGCTTCCAGGCTGCTCATTTTTTGTACAAATCACTTGTAAAGCAGCCTGCTCATCCTCCAACCCCTCCCCTCCAAGTCATCCCCCCAGCTGCCCCCTCCCCACCATAGTTTTCGGGGTCCCGCTCTTCCGGGGGACCCAGGACCACAGCATGGTAGTTCAAGATAAAGAGCGGAGAGAGCAGAGTGGAGAGCAGTGCGGAGAATGTCTGTTCTCCGCTCTGCTCTATGATCAGTGACACGGGACCGCTGTACTCGCGGAGAGAAGCAGATAGGAGGAGAGAGAGTTAAAGGCTATAAAGGGAAGAAAAAAAAGAGGGGGGAAGTGGCCGGGTAGAGGGACGGGGGGAATGCCATGTTCTCTATCCAGGCCACGCCTAATCATTGGCGAGTTCAGCCGGCCAACAAAGTTTCATATTAACTGGTAAAAGTGAATTCATGCCAGTAAAACCAGGTGTGATGGGACTGCTCCTCTCGGTGCTGTAGGGACAAAGTAATGTCTTCCATATTTACTTGTACTTGGTCTTAAGAAAAAAATGGTATTGATGCATCCCTAGCACACACACGGAATGAGTGATTTCCCTGTGAAAACAACGGCGAGATTTCTGGGGATATACAATCCAAGTAGAGAAATCAACTCGGCTAATGAGAACATCGCCAAGATGGCGACCAGCAGGTATCACAAAGATGGCCGCACATGCGGGATGACGTTACCCAGTATCCACTCCGGGTTACACCCGGCCTTGGGACGCCCCTGATATCATGTACTATATCCCAAAAGGGCCTGGGTCATTTTTTGCCTGGAGATCAGCTCTGATAGAAGCCGTTCCAGGTTTGTACCTGGAATGTTTTGTCATAAAAGCATCACCTAACTGACAAATACATCATACTAATATTGTTATTGGTGTTGCCTTTGCCATCCATATTGTTACATCATTAGAGTGCTCTGTATACAGGTCATGTGTGTGAGGTGTATCTGATATTACACTGATATAGCTCTGTTATCCGTATAATAGAAGTACATGGTAATCATTGCTTTATATTTTACAGCTTCTGACACCGCTTCTGACAACTCCAAGGAAGTGAAGACCTGAGTGTGAGTTTTCAGTTCTCCATTATCCTAATATGTCTCATATAGCACATGTTGCCCAAAGCAGACAATGAGATACCGTAGGCGTCCAAAGGCGGGGTGACACCGGGTTCGGGTACCAGGTGACACTCCACAGTGACGCCATCGCATACGCGCGTGACGTCATCACGCATGCGCGTGATGACATACCGCATGTGTGTAATGACGTCACATGCGGTACCGCTGTTACCTGCCGGGGGCCATCTTGGTGATGGACGCGGGCAGAGAGAGGAGGGGACGTCACCCCGCGGGATGAGGTATGCCGCCGGGTCCCCTCCTCTCGAGCAACTGTCGGGCTCTCGGTCCTTGACAGAGTGCCCGACTTTTCAATGGGAGGTGACACCAAAATGACTGTCAGTCAATTTGGTGTCACCCCTCCAATGGTGTCACCCCCCGGCAGCCCCCATTTGACGTGAGATGGTGCTTCATATTTCCACAGAAGATTATAAAATCACAGCTTTGTCATCATGTGGTGGCTTCTAAGAGAAGTAGGGGGCTGACATGAGCTGCTTCACAGACTCACAATCCAAACCTTTTAACTGGCCTCTTGGTGGCCCCATTTCCAAGTGGACTTTGGCAAACGCCATTTTTGCCTCTTTAATAACATGGCTCTGCATTCAGCCCGTATATCTGCCCCCACTCATTTTTATCGCTATAGTTTTTTTTCTTGGACATATTGAGTGTCAGTTGGGGTTTACCTATCAAAAATCTGCAAAGCCATTCGCCCGGCAAAACTCTGTGCCCCTTCTTTCTGTGCGAATAAAGGCAAAAACAAATGTTAATATATTTTCTCTCCAGGTCAAATGTGATATCAGGAAAATACCAAATGATGGCCACTAGATGGAGCTGAGGAGCATAAAAATAAATAATAATGCTGTATTATCCTGATATTACATTCAACCTGGAAAGAAAATATACTAATAATGTTCGTTTTCCTCTCCATTCACACAGATTGAACATACATGTAATTTTACAGAATGAATGGCTCTGTGAAGGTTTTAGAACTACACCCCTTTGACTTGCACCAATGCACCTGTGTGAATGTAGTGTGTAATTATGCATTAAGGTGCACTGCTTTGAGACAGTCCGTTTATAATGAATGGGCTGACAGTGCACTTTAATGCATGGAAAAAATGGACCTGATCCTTTTTTCTGAAGCAGTGCATCACAATGCATAACTAGTGTGCTGTAGTGTGCTACAATGCAGGTACATTGCCAGCTACTATGCATAATGAATGGCACATCAACACACCACATAGTATATAGAGTGCATAAAAGTTGCACGCTTTCAAAACAGCTCGGGTCTCTTGTTTTGGTGAGGCCAAGAGGGGAGCCTAGCTGTCTCTGAAGCTTGCAGATGTGTCATCTTTTATTTCCCAAGTCTTCTAATTTGTGTTATACAAGAAAGGGGTCAAAGAAATGGCTACAGTCTGAAACAATGTGATAAGTAGGGAGCTGTGCTATTCACAAATATGGAAGATCGTGTAATATAATAAAGCTGATCCCAGATTCCATTGTAATGAATACGCCGGGGTGAAGGTTCCATTTCACATTGGATGAATACAGGACCTTTCCTCACATTTATAGATAGGAGTAAAACTAAAGGGTAACAAGTAGGGCTGTGGAAATTAAAGATGAATTTCTCGATTAATCGTTAAACTTTTTGATCGATTAAAATTATTTTGATCGCTAATGAAAACACTCAACTCTCCGCCGGCTTCCGGGAGAATTTGATTAATCGAACACGAAAATTTGAATCATTACCAGACCTAGTAACAAGATCTCTGATATAGAAATGTATAACTAATTCTACTTTTTTTTTTTTTCAGGCCCACAAAAAAAGAAGAATCCAGGCCGTTTCCTTTATTTGTACGATGTACATTTCTAGCTCAGTCGCTTTTTTTTTTTTTAGAAATACACACTTTGTAAATTAAGGAGAACCTGTCATGTTATGTAATCAGCCTATATGTAAATACAATTGGTAGAAAACATGTACAGTGGTACCTCGGTTCACAAACTTAATTGGTTCCACGATTCTGGTCGCGAACTGAATTGGTCACATACCGAATCAAATTTCCCCATAAGGTTCAATGTAAATAAGGATATTCCGTTCTGAACCATATGTAAAAAATTGTAACCACAAAAATATGAAACCAAGTACAGTACAGTATGAAGAGAGTGAACACTAACCTTGAGGCGACTTTTGTTTTGTTTTTTCAGGCCCACAAAAAAAAAGACCGTTCCCTTTTTTGTACAATGTACTTTTCTAGCTTGGCTTCTTTCTTTTTAGAAATACACACTTTGTAAATTAAGGAGAACCTGTCATGTTCTGTAATCCGCGTATATGTAAATATAATTCGCAGAAATCATGCACTTCTGTGACATTAGGATTTTTTTGAAAATGTGAAAAAGGATTCTTTGGTAATTTTAGGATCTGTACCTCATACAAACCAGTTATTTATTACATATCATGTTCCATTATACCTGCTGAAGGATCCACTCTGACCAATGGAAAATGCCCAATCTATGCTGGTAGGCATGTTGTTGTCCAGAGTTATCCTTATTCTGAATTGTGCCTTAAATAAGAACTACCACCAATCATAATCAGACTTTTATATTACAGTTTTACTGTTGTACAGAAAGTTCTAAATCTAGCTACCTACAGGCCAAATATCGTCCAGGAAAGGTCATTCTAGGTCTGGTTTGCTGGTAATCAGCATATGTGTGGGGTACTCCCAACAAATAGATAATCTGATTGCAGGATAACTGCTTCCACAATAGATATGTATGGCCGAATAAATAACCGAGCCGAAGTGAAGTAAGCCAAAGCCTGTTTGGCTATTCACTTTAGACATGTATGGCTATTTTTAGCCGTACATTGGCTGCGTTCGGCTCTCTTCACCTTCCTTTGGCCAAACAGCCTCAGCACGTTCGGTTGCAACAAAAGGAAGAGCCCGCATCGGCTGAGACGGTTGCAACAAAAGGAACAGCCGTTGCATCGGCTGAGACTAATGTTTGGCAGTTCAGTCCCTGCTGTTCACCCCTGTTCTCCAAAGGGCCAAACAGCACAGAGTGAATTGCCAAATGGCTGGCTCTTCATTCAGCTTAGCCATTCTGTTCACTACCTCAGAGTTAGCAAACAGAATGAAAAATGTTATTGAAAACAAAAAAAGCGTGGGGTCCCCTCCCCAAATCATACCGGACCGTTTAGGTCTGGTGGGAATGTTAGGGAAGACCCCCGATGTAAGAAAAAAAGCAGGGGGTTCCCCTACAGTCATTCCAGGCCCTTTAGGTGGGGCTTTTAAGGGGGACCCCAACACCAAAAAAAGATGTAAACGAAAAAAAAATTGGAGTTCCCTTAAAATTCCATATCAGACCCTTAATCTGAGCAGTGGCCTGGCAGAGCACCATATGCCCTTGGCATTGGGAGGGTGCTTTTCCAGGGGGAAACTCCACCCATTTACTATCATTACATGCCAGCTCACTGTCCTCAAATGGGTGGAGCGAGTCCCATGATGTCATCCTCCCCACTCCAGCTGTTTGTTTAGCTTTGCCAAACCGAAGCATGTTCATTCGGCTCAACTGTTTACTTCGGCTGCTGTACGCGCTATTGATAACTGCCGCTATCAGTTTGTTACTCTACATTAGAGAGAAACAGAACGTGATCACTGGGGGGTGGGGCAAATAGATTCTAATACAATGTATATGTATATAAAATTTATTTTTATTTTATTTTTATATTGTCATTTTCTTGTAAGATGATTAGGTGAAAGGATAACTGCAATCAGAGTAACATTTCTAATCATAAGTAAATACCGAGCTGAAACAAGTAAATAGGGGCGGGGTTTATATAACTATATATAAATATAGTTATAATATACTAATATATTATGTAAATATTAGTAAAGTAAATTACAATCTTCTTATGACCTTCTGTTGTGTTGCTGCTTATAGTAAGATGACTTTTTATGAAGAAAGTTCTGTCACAGAAGCATTTTTTTAAGGTAAGAAGGATGTTATGAAAAATTATGTTGTTGCCACAACTCAAAACAAACTGCAGACAAAATGAATTGGCTTTTCTTGAAGTAAAAAGTTATGTCTAACCTTAGA